TAATAATTTAAGTGATCTAAATCTACCCATTGCTCTCAGAAAAGAAAAAAGGTCATGTGTTAAATACCCTATCTCAAACTATCTGTCCTATTCTCAGTTATCTACATCATTTGCAGCTTTTACCTCTAGCCTTTCCATTGTCTCTATTCCCTTAACCATACAGGAAGCCCTATCTATACCTGAGTGGAAGAAGGCTGTTTTAGAAGAAATGAATGCCCTTGAAAAGAATCAGACATGGCAGACTGTAGAGGTACCCAAAAATAAACCAAGGGTTGGATGCAAATGGGTGTTTACCCCTAAATTCAAGGCAGATGGTACACTTGAAAGATATAAGGCCAGACTGGTTGCCAAAGGATACACACAAACCTATGGCATAGATTATACAGAAACTTTTGTACCAGTTGCAAAATTAAATACTATAAGGATTCTACTATCTCTAGCTTCTAACCTAGACTGGCCTCTTCAACAGTTAGATGTGAAGAATGCTTTCCTAAATGGGAAGCTTGAAGAGGAAGTATACATGAGCCCTCCTCCTGTGTTTGAGGAACAATATGGCTCAAAGGTGTGCAAGCTAGAGAAAGCCTTATATGGGCTTAAACAGTCCCCAAGGGCTTGGTTTGAAAGGTTTACTCAGTTCATAAAGAAGCAGGGATTCAAGCAAGCCCAAGCAGATCATACACTATTCATGAAATTCTCCATTAAGGGAGAAATTGCAGTACTAATTGTTTATGTGGATGATATAATTCTTACAGGAAACTATTGTGAAGAGATTGAAGACCTGAAGAAGAAGCTTGCTCAGGAATTTGAAATCAAAGACCTGGGAGAATTGAAGTATTTTCTTGGCATGGAGATAGCCAGATCAAAGAAGGGAATTGTGGTATCCCAAAGGAAGTATGTACTAGACCTACTTCATGAAACAGGTATGAGTGCATGCAGACCAATAGATACTCCAATTGACCCTAATCAGAAGTTAGGAAATGTCAAGGAAGGAGTACCAGTTAATATTCACCAATATCAAAGATTGGTGGGAAGGTTGATTTATCTGGCACATACAAGGCCAGATATTGCCTTTGCAGTCAGTATGGTTAGTCAGTTCATGCATAATCCATTCCAAGAACATCTAGATGCTACCTACAGGATCCTAAGATATTTGAAAAGTTGTCCAGGGAAAGGATTATTTTTTAAAAGAAGTGACAATAGAAGTGTAGAAGCCTTTACAGATGCAGATTATGCTGGGTCAATAACTGATAGAAGGTCTACATCTGGGTATTGTACTTATGTATGGGGGAATCTGGTGACTTGGAGGAGTAAGAAGCAGAATGTTGTTGCCAGAAGTAGTGCAGAATCTGAATTTAGATCTATGGCTAATGGAATCTGTGAGCTACTTTGGATCAAGAGAATGATGACAGAGTTGAATATGGAAATGGACCTACCTATGAAATTATATTGTGACAATAAAGCAGCCATTAATATTGCTCACAATCCTGTGCTACATGATCGTACTAAACACATTGAGGTGGACAGGCATTTTATCAAAGAGAAGATTGAAGCTGGAATTGTGTGCACACCATTCATATCTACTAAAGAGCAGACAGCTGATATCTTTACAAAGGGGCTGTTTAAACCAGTGTTTGAGTTTCTTATAAGCAAGTTGGGAATGTATGATATATACTTACCAACTTGAGGGGGAGTGTAGAAAAATGTAGCATATTCATGTTATTTTATTATGTGTACATCCGGAACTGTATAGATAGGAAGTAGAGTTGATTTAGGACTCTAACTCTTAGATTAACACGCAGTGTGGATAAGAATAGATAGATCCTAAATATTAGGATCTGTAACAAACCTTAGCTTATCTGTAATTTTGTATTTATATCATTGCCGGATGGCTCAATAATACAAGGAAGATTAATTCTTCAAACCTACAGGAATGGGTTGAATACCAACTGAGGAAATGTGTTTATATAGATCCTCTAAGAGAGTTTAGGGTGGGGGCAGCCAGGCAGCATGTTTAGGACAATTTGCACATGGCTTTTTCCTTGAAAGATCATCCAATATTTACTCAGAATTCTGTGGCTAAAAAGCATCTATAAGACTCAATTTTCAATATTTTTCGAAGATCAACTTAATGCCAGATGTCACTGATCCATTTGCTAGGGTCAATGAGATGAATTGGAATCAAAACCTTCTGATTTGATGCCTCATTTATGTGGAACATGGTTGTTTTCCCTGTCTGATTTACTCGAAACCTTTATTTTCATAGTCGTAAACACTTTAAATTTATGATCACTTACTTACAGGCATTTCGTTCATCAAACATTACATATCAGTACAACCATGATCTGTCTGACGTTTCTCCATGTTATGTAATCTTCCATCTGTTTCCTCTGTCCCTCTTAAAATGTTCTTATTTAATATCATTTCCGATGGACTAAAGTAAGATAAGGTAGATAAACCAGGAACTGCAAGTATAAACTAGGTTTGCTGATATTAGTCAATCTTTTCGTTGTAAATTGGGGAACGAGCCTCTTAACGAAAACTAATAAATTATTTTATCTGCATAGCTGCGTTTATTGGTATTTACTGGTTATATTGTGATATTTTAAAATAATGAACAAAAACAGTATGCCTTAAAATAATAGCAAGTGCACAGTTGTGCAATGTGCATAACTATAGATGTACAAGGTGTCAACATAAGTTATTAACAATCTGTTCTTGATACTGGAATGCTGTTCATTTCAGGCTCCTTGATCTCCACTGCCCTTAGAGTTCGATTGTCTTCTTGTTACGAAAAACATAAAATTATAAATGCTCCTTCATCTTCATTAAGTTGTTCTGAGATAATTATTGAACATTGTTCCACTCCACTCGTCCTATTTTGTTACTCGTCACTCCTATTTTTAGCCTGTCCAAAAATGTTCGCCCCATTCCAAATTCGGCCGTATTTTGTGGCTCACAATCACTCTTAATTTTACAAATTAAATAACAGCATATCTAACTGTTCCTTTACACGTATTCAAAACACCATCTCCAAACTTAATGGAACAGATGTAGTATACAAATATGGACTACTCTTCTCCTTATTTTATTAGTTTATAAAGAAATGCAGTGTTATTTCTTGACTCAAAATGCTACATGCTTTATTTATTATCTTCATTAGTCATTACATGTGTTTATGCTACTCATTATACCATCCAGATTACTCTTGTACGCAGAAGGCGGAAATTGGGGCTTATTGATCTATAAAAGGAAACACTAATAGTAGACTTTCATGAACACTTGTAGTTGTGTGCCTCTGAGAATAAAAAAGAATTGATGATATAAATTCGTGTGCATGTACAAAAAGCAATGAGCCAATGAAATTTAAGAATGAAAATCTGTAAATATTACTGAAGTCATGAATAAATGCACCAATATACTAATTATTGAGTTGTAGAAATCATCTGAAATCATCAATAGGTTCCTCATTCAACGACAGTGAGATTTATGCTTAAGCACTTGTAGCTAATAATGAATAAATACGTTTGTGTAAGGATATTACTAATTAAAGATTCTTCTGTAACAATTCCACAGAACTCTTCATTTCAGGCAGTCTAACATTGAAGTATAGTTTACATTTCAGAAAGGAAGCATTTGGAAATATAAACGTTTTAGTCGTCTTACTACTGTTGAATCTTTGTTTTCTTATTCTTGGACACATATTGAATAATTAGACTTCCTTTCCTACCTCTTGAAGGAGTTCAAGATAGGTAATAAATAGACCAAGTACTGGTAGAATTTTGAAAAATGTATATTTCAATCTCAATAGGAAAACAGGTATAGAACTCTCTGTACAAGAATAATTTTCTCTGCAAAATTGTTCTGCTGACTAACTATAACCTAAGATGTATGAATTCTATCTAAATCTACTCATACTAGAGATGATGTCAACAAAGGTTTCCTCCGGACAAGGTATTGTGAGTCCACCCATGGGATGATCAAACCCGAACTCTTCTTCGGTTTGACTTAGCAAGTCTTGGAATGAGTGGTCTTTCAAGTACAAAATTGGAATCACAAAACGCTTCTTTTCACTCTCACCAACATAAACTGCAAAGTGACCCTTAGGAATCTCGCTTTCTCTATTTGTTCTCGAAGAAGACCTTCTGAGGCGTTGCTTACCGAGAATGTGCCCCATACTTATTGCCATAATTTTGTAGGAGGTTTTAGAAGGAATAAGCTTTGTTTGTATGTAGCTAGGAAGCCCTTGAGTTGAATGGGAAGAATATTAACTTGAATGTGTTTATATAGAGATGATCCGTTAGGAAGTAAGAGTAGTATGGATGGGAAGGGATCCAGCTTGAATGATAGTATATGAAATTAGGATAGCTCAACCACTTCTGTCATTAATTAGCACGTGCTTTGTTCTTCCAAAAACATCTATAATGTCTTGCAAGTGCTTTGTAGGTAAAGGACATCATCCTCCATTTGATTCAATCAAATTGTGATAGCTCAACCACTCCAGAAAGTCTATCAAATGAGTTATGAAGATGAAGAAGTAAGTTAAAAAAGATGTCTTTATTTAGAAACAAAACAGAAATTAGATGATGAAAATTTGTAAATATTACTGAAGTCATGAATAGATGCACTAATACACCAATAGATGCACCGATATACTAAGTATTGAGTTATAGAAATCATCTGAAATCGTCAATAGGTTCCTCATTCAATGACAGTGAGATTTATGCTTAAGCACTTATCGCTAATAATTAATAAATATGTTTGTGTGAGGTTAATAATAACTAAAGATTCTTCCGTAACAAATCCACAGAAATCTTCATTTCAGGCAGTCTAATATTGCAGTATAGTTTACGTTTCAGAAGGGGAGCATTCAGAAATATAAACGTTTTAGTCTTACTACTGTTGAATCTTTGTTTTCTTATTCTTGGAGACGTATTGAATAATTAGACTTGCTTTCTTACCTCTTGAAGGGGTTCAAGATAGGTAATAAATAGACAAAGTACTGGTAGAATATTGAAAAATGTATATTCCAATCTCAAGAGGACAACACATATAGAACTCTCTGTACAATAATAATTTTCTCTGCAAAAATTTTCTGCTGACTAACTATAACCTAAGATGTATGAATTCTATCTAGATCTACTCATACTAGAGATGATGTCAACAAAGGTTTCCTCCGGACAAGGTATTGTGAGTCCACCCATGGGATGATCAAAGCCGAACTCTTCTTCGGCTTGACTTAGCAAGTCTTGGAATGAGTGGTCCTTCAAGTATGAAATTGGAATCACAAAACGCTTCTTTTCACTCTCACCAACATAAACTGCAAAGTGACCCTTAGGAATCTCGCTTTCTCTATTTGTTCTTGAAGAAGACCTTCTGAGGCTTTGCTTATGGAGAATGTGCCCCATACTTATTGCCATAATTTTGCAGGAAGTTTTAGAAGGAATAAACTTTGTTTGTATGTAGCTAGGAAGCCCTTGTGTTGAATGGGAAGAATATTAACTTGAATGTGTTTATATAGAGATGATCCGTTAGGAAGTAAGAGTAGTATGGATGGGAAGGGATCCAGCTTGAATGATAGTATATGAAATTAGGATAGCTCAACCACTTCTGTCATTAATTAGCACATGCTTTGTTCTTCCAAAAACATCTATAATGTCTTGCAAGTGCTTTGTAGGTAAAGGACATCATCCTCCATTTGATTCAATCAAATTGTGATAGCTCAACCACTCCAGAAAGTCTATCAAATGAGTTATGAAGATGAAGAAGTAAGTTAAAAAAGATGTCTTTATTTAGAAACAAAACATGTGAATGCGTTTCTTCATTTCTGTAGCACATGGTTTTGCCATTTCTAATTGAATCAGAAAGGCCCCATACAACTTGGGCAACGTGGTTGAAGCTAAACCTAAAAAACCAGTAAGAGGCATATTCTTTAAACATGGTCTTAACCTCATAACTTTAGATAAACACTTCCATGTGCATTTTTTTCATCATTAAAATCTGCAATTTAGCAGATTTTGTACATGTCTAGTAAGGTTGCATTCATCAAGCTAGCTGAGCGGTGGCACAAATTGGCTGTCTTTGCTAAAAAATATTTTCAGGACCGGACTTTTTAATGGTTAGAGTCCTTGTTGAACAGTCAGCAAGGATCATTTTTCTATAACTACTAAACAGAAGCAGCTCCCCGTTCCGCTATCTTATATTCAGAATGGGATTATTTGGCAACTCTGAGACTTGTCTGAATAAAAAACATTGAAAGACCTGATATAATTAGATTTCTTTCCCCATATAGGTGCAGGATAAGTAATAAATTAAGACAAGGCCATTGATAAAATTTTGATCATTATATTTCTCAATCTGATCAGGAACAAAGACAATGTACAAGTATACTTTTCTCATCAAAATTAGTTCTACTGGCTATACACTACGCTGCATGTAGCCTATCAAGATCTACGCATACTAGAGATGATGTCAATGAAGGTGTCCTCCGGACAAGGTATTGTAAGTCCACCAGTTGGATGATCAAATCCGAATTCTTCTTCAGCTTGACTTAGCAAGTCTTGGAATGAGTTGTCTTTCAAGTATGAAACTGGAATGACAAAGCGCTTTTTCTCGCTCTCGCCTACATAAACTGCAAAGTGGCCCTTGGGAACCTCAGTCTCTCTGTTTGTTCTTGAAGAAGACCTTCTGAGGCCTTGTTTGCCACGGAGGATGTGTCCCATACTGATTGCCATGTTCAAACGTCTCTAGAAATTAGAGGAAGTGTTATTTTGTTAATTCAAGAAAGAAAGATCTCTGTGGAGGATGTAGTTGAGTTTGTTGTGAATATCAACTGAGGAAATGTGTTTATATAGATCCTTTAGGAAGTGGAGCTAATGGCTTAGAGAGTTTAGTGTGGGGGCAGCTAGCTAGCATGACTAGGACACATTTACACATGCTTTTGTCTTCCAAAGGTCATCCAAAAATGTACAATTTATTCTGTAGTTAAAGAGTTGTCATTGGCCAGACATAATTCCCTACATGCTTCAAAGCTCAACCTACTGCCAGATGTCCCTGATCCATTTTGTTGAATGAATGAGATGGTTTGGAATCAGACAACCCATGTGAATGTGATTCATCATCTTTTGGAGCATGGGTTTTTCAGTTTTTGCCTTGTCTGATTTACTCAAGGGATGCAAGCATTTTGTCCTTGCTTTTTAAGCAGTTTAAATTGATGATCAAACACTACAAATCTGTCCAACCAAGATCTGCCTGAGTTTTCTGCAGATTTTGTGACCTTCCATTCTCTCTCTCTTTCTCTATTTGCTTATTTAATATGAGTACTACGTACATGATTAGTTCTAAGAAGCTCCTCTTGCTTGAAAAAAAATGTCTGGGATTTTCTTCCGCTAGAGAACAAGAGAATGCATTTAGTCATTTACTAGTCTAGTTACTTCTTCATACTGGGAGGCGTTCATTTCAGTGAGATAAGGAGGGATTACGAAATGCTAAGTTTGCTGATAATTGAAGTCAACATTTCTGTTGTAGGTGGCAGGGTGGGGCTAGACTCTGGCATTTTACATTTTGTTTTCTGCATTGAGGAGTTTATTTTTAAACTGATAATATTCGGTTTCCCTTCAATATATTGTTCTGAAGATCCATTAGTGTGATTAAACTGCCTAAACTATGTAATATACTCCTCTTTATTTAATCTATAATAATATAATGTAATAAGTTGTGAACCTATATTTGACATCTAAGTTTTCCTCAGTTCTGAAAAAAGTCCCTCTCATACAAAATATTTATAGAAAAAAGGATGACACCCCAATCCTGAGGGCCCTCCAACGCCGACCAGATGTAAATTGGACTATAATCACAATCTTACAGATAAAGTGAGACTTTGTCTCTGATACTTGCAGAGGCCCTATGCATTTTTTAGCATAGTAATCTCTCATCGCAGTTGTCGTGATTCGAATTAGTCCCTTTGTTGAAAACTTTAAAGAAAGTCATGTTTCGCCTTTTACATTCGTTTTAGCAAAGTCATAAAAAAGGCCACTTTGTTATGAGTCACTTTATTAGATTGCAATTGACGATACTTAAGGGTAATTAGCTTTTATTCATCTCATTCATTTTATTGTTTGTTAAGTCTATTCTTATTAGTACTCCCTCCGTCCCGCAAAGAAGTTCACGGTTTGACCTACACACATAATAAAGAAATAAACTTACCATGGGGTAAATTTTACTGTTTCGACACTGTTTGACACTGTTTTTCACTGTTTTGCACTGTTTGGCACTGTTTTGATGTAGATAACTTCTCATTTAAGGAAATGGGAACTTCTTTTGGGAACTGCTAAAAAAGAAAGCGAAAACTTCTTTGCGGGACGGAGGGAGTAATTCTTATTAATATCTGAAAAGAGTATCATAGTCGTGGGCTTCGTGCTAAACTAGAATGTTACATATCACAAATGCAAGAGAATATTTTTCTATTCGCTAATCTTGCACGCATGAAGATTCTAATAGCGGCATATTAGCATTGTTGTCAAATTTACGTTGGGCAACAAAAATATGAAACAAACTAGTTTTTTCGACTACCAGGGGAGGAACATATTAAGAAATACTATCTTCTACAACTACTACCTCCGTTCATATTATAACTTCCAAATAGGTTTTACACACAATTTAAGATAATGAGTATTGTGTGGTGGAGAGTTGTGCAGAGGAGAGAGAAATGTGTAAGAAATGTTGTGAATCACAAATTCTTTACCAAAAAAGGAAAGTGAAAGTTTTAATTGGAACGGAGGGAGTATTTGATAAGCCCCATTTGACCAGCCGTCAAATGGATACTAGCCCCAATTTAACTAGTAACCTAGAAGGAACAACTAGATTAAAAAGTAAAAGAGAAAAATAAATTGTTGACTAGTTTGTGTGAAGGATGTTCACACAACTTAAGGAGAACAAAACCTAAAAACCACCAACTACCAAATTCAATTATTGACCTCGGCAGAAAATACACAAATAAAGATGTGACTAGTAAAGGAAAATGACATTTCAATCCTTTGGCTCATCGTCTGCTCTTTGTTATTTTGATGCCAATTTCATTTGTTACATTCAATTGTGTCATTCCTAAAATATACATAATTTCATTGTCAAATGTACTATGTTATTGCTAGCAAAGTTGTGTTTATATATACTCCGTATGTTATAAGTGTCATTAATTATTTTTTCAAGATGTGACTATGGAAGTTTGTCTAGATGTTTGGCGGTTATAAGTCTTTGTCTTCTAACTTTTGTACTATTTAAAAAGTCTCTAGTTATATGTTTGGCATGACAAATTTTAAGAGCTTTTGAAAAAATAAATGATCTTTTTTGAGATGTTATATGGAGTAGCATATGAGAAAAGTCTGTGACTTTTAGTATTAATTAGTCTTAACAGCTTGTATATCAAACAGAACTAAATCAAATAGTCAGCTTTTTACCAAACAGCTACCACCTTTTCTTTTTAGATCTTTTCAGTCAATAAAAGTTAACAGTTACTAAAAAGCTTATAAAAGTATCTTTTTAGCTTACATAGTAATGGTCTAGTGGAGACACATTAACATTTCTCAACTAGAAATCATATTTAAATTTGATTTTTTTTTATCTATTCACCGATGATCTAGACTTATATACTAGTTTGATAATTCAATTAAAAACTGAACTATATATGAAATATGCTTCATGTGTGTGTGAAGTTAAAAAAATGGATTCAAGTATGGAATACAAGTATGGGGTTAAAAAACCAAGACTCCAATTTTAGATCGAACAACCCACAAAGATTGGCACGATGCTTGCTGGAAAAAAACGAGCCACACTAAAAAATTAAACAATGTTTTTTTATTTCTTTTGCATCATTGCTTTTTGTTCATTTACTATGTATTCACTTGCATTGAAATTTATTAATCTAGTATAGTTTGGTCTAATAGAGGTATGCTATAATGTTTCTATTATTTAAATCCGATCGGGTTCGAGAATAAAACCAGTTTAAGTCCAATCATTCAAAAACTATTTTTACTCTCATATACAAGTGTTCATGACACCAGCACACCTTACAAGTGTTCAATGACTCAATGTATACCTAGAATTTCCAAAAGGGCTGGAAATATTATGGTTGGACTTGGGCCGGGCCGGGTCGGGCCCGGGCTGGGTCTAGGCCCGGTCGGGCCGGCGGTTCTATATAGCTGGACCCGGGACCGGCCCGGGTAGCCACCGGGTCCGGGCCGGGCCGGGCCTCGGGTTTGGTTTTTTTTTTTGCTTAGCTACCCATCCCTGACCCCCCCCCCACCCAAACCCCCCCCCAAAGCCCTCCTAAACATCAAGCCCAACCCGGTGGAGCCCAAACAAATGAAAAAAACCAAAAAAAAAAAATAAATTTGGCCCGAACCGGGCCCGGGCCCGGCCGGGCCGGGCCTTGTTATGGGTGACCCAAGCCCGGACCAGAAACCCACCGGGTCGGGCCTACCCGGACCGGTC